TTTGTATGTGCTTCTTATATACCACATCCTGCTGCTGCTGTCAGAGGCAGCACACAGGGTTTGATGGACCATTGGTCTGACCCTATAGGGCATGCTTTATGCCTCCACAGGCACAATATTAATGCTTTACAAGAGTGATTATGCTTCATTAGCATTTGATTTATTTTTCTCCCTTATAGAAGAACCCACTGGAGTCTAGAGATACTGAGGCATGTCAAGGGGTATTAACCTTTATTATGCAGACCTTGGTGAAGGGAGCATGGCTGGGAAGTCACCTTCAGTATTCTCCAAATGCCTTTCAGTGAAGTTTGTTAATCATAGCGAAGCCGCAGAACAATTCCTCTTCTCCCTCATGACTTCTATGAGTTATCACTTGGACATGATACAGTGAGGTCCCCAAGCTCTAGCATGTAGGTGGTAGGGACTGTAAATGAATGGCATCCTGCAAAAGGAAGGGACAAGGCTACACTGCTTAAGCTTTGAAAGGTCTAAGAAAGGCAAGGAAGCTATAAAGCAAATCAAGAACAATCAGCTACGTTGAGAGACCTTCAGAGCCCAACTGGGCTTGAAGTGTCACCTGCCCCACCTTGAGCTGTGCACTGTTCCTCTTCTAGCTAAATTATCTCAGGGAAGAGGCATATCTCCCTAGTCTTCTCCAAAAGACAATGGTGAGACCATCTCCTGAGTTGATGGGGTGGTGAACACCTGCTGTGTTCCCACCATAAGCAGCCCCTTGCATGGATTTGATGTCTGCTGGCTGTGGAAATACTCTGCTCCCTGGTTGGGGACCATAAAGCTAGGCCCCATGAGTACTCCACTGACACGATGAGTAATGATACCAGAATACATTGCATTAGCAGTGACTTCACACTTCTGAACACTTCACAGCATAAGCTGCTGAGAGTCACTTCTTTGTTGCAGCTGCTGGCCCATCTGTGAGGACATGAACGTGCTGTGATACATATGTGGCTTCCCCATGAATTCAAGGAATTCTAGGGAGCAAAGTGGGTTGGGTGTCACTCAAATAAAGATAAGGAGAATTTACTCTATGCTGGTGGTGTATTTACTCTGTGTTGATCCCTTTCCAGCAAATGCAAGTTGCTGATGAGCCATGGATAGTCTGGCTGAGGGTGTCTAGAAAGCATCACAAGGGACATGATCATACTCCAAGGGGGAAGGAGGAAGAATGTTATCAGGCCACAGAATGAGGTTGAACCACTCATGTGTTTTGGTTTGGCAAGGTTAAAAAGCATTCCTACATGGAGACCGTCGTGGATGTTGTGTTACACAAAGTGAGGAAAGACCCATGCGAGCACATCCTGAAAGTCTGACTCTTTTATTGACAAAACATTTTAGAATGAGAGCTAGTGAGCAAGACCAGGTCATACTTGGTGGATTATAGATCATTTAAATACCTTTAAATTTGAATAGAACCAACTGCAAAATGTAAAATAACAGGAACAAAAAAAATGTAAAACATCAGGATAAAGAATCCATGATGCCAGCAGGTTTTAGGAGCTGTCACCACTTAAGTAAGTGTCATCCAGATGGTGCTCAGTAACTTGAAAGTATATTGAGTCAGAGTAGTGATAAAATACAGCCCTCCTGTCACCATCTAGCAGGGCTGCTTTTGTTATCAGATCCATGCAGGTGAACTAAGACTTCCTCCAGAAGAGCAAGGTGCTAGTTAGACTATGTTTAAACATAATATGTAGACAGGCTTTATGAGGAAGGAAACTGAACATACATTATATTAGAGCCATATCTTGTGTTGGTATTTGTCAAAAACAAACCACAAAAACTGGAGTATTTGTATTTAGAGCAGAACCCATACAGCCATCTCAAGAAATTTGTTTTGTATGTACTGTGTTTTGCTGAACTAGTTGCTTTGAAGGGAAGAAAGGAGTAAAACCAAAAAGACTGTATCTTGAAAAATCCATCAGAAGTTGCTGGCAGCTGTAATTTGCACCAGATATTACTGTCTGACTTTGCCATTGTCACTAAGTTTTAATATTAGATGGGTTTCAGTGACCATCGAGTTCAGCCTTCAGCACATCACAGACAGTCCATGGAAAACTGTCTGAAGAGCCTTTGTTCATTCATCATGTCTTGGCTGAGATAAAACATGTAACTTTTAGGGATAGCTAACCTCAATTTGAAAAAGGTCTTTGAATAATAAGAAAATCCATGACAACTGCAGAAAAAATGTTCAGAACTCTCTCTGTTAAAAATCTGCACCTTTGTGTCTGCTCTTGATCTATTCTACTTTCAGTCACTGGCGTTTCTCATGCTTTTCTGACAAACAGAGAAGATGTCTCTGATGAGAAATGATCTACTCATGCAGGCACTAAGTGACTGAGATAGAAAGGGAGGAATAAATAGAGGGATAAATAGAGAGTGGGGAGGGAGGAAGGAGGGAGAGAAGGGAGAGAAGAAGGGAGGGAGGGAGGGAGGGAGGGAAGGAAGGGAGGAAGGGAGGAAGGAAGGAAGATAAAAGGCTGTTTTCCTTTTTTGTCATCACTGTAATCAACATGCACCTGTGTAGGGCACTGCTTTCTGCAAGATACTCATGATGTGGGGAGATGTCCTCTGGGGCATGACCTTCTAACTGACAAAGCAGGAGTTAGTCTTGCCTGTGCTCCTGGTCACCTCTTCATCAACCATAACCCTTCTGCAGCTAAACTGAGGCTGCAGACTGGTTCATCTTGTGCTGTCTTTGCAGCTGCCCTCCAAGCATGCTGGAGAAAGACATGGAGAAGGATGAGGAGGGTTTGTGTCCTTGTAACTAATCTTGCTACAAACGATCCATTGGAAATGGGAGATCTCCTCTCTGTGGCCAGCAAATCCAGATGTCCCATCTGCAAATAACTCAGGTCCTCGACATCCTGAAAAAACCCTCAGCTGCTGCTGCTGTTCTTTGTCTCCCAATGTCCCTTGTCCCATGTTGGGTTACAGCTTTGTTAGGATGTATTCTGCCAGCATTGGCCTTGCTTCCATCCTAAGATTTTTCTAACCTCACAAGGAAAATAATGTTTCATGATGGATGGGATAAAAGCTCTTTTAGACAGGATAACTTAGACACGTCTTTATCACCTCAGTAAAAGGTCTTGACTAATTGGAATCACTAGTAGAGTAAATATTAGGGATTTTTGCTCTGTTCATGAAAGGAAAGTCACAGTCAAGAAAGGAATGCTCTTTGACAGGTCTTTTTTTTTCTTCTGAATGCATGAGTTTTGTTTTGATCACCTTTTAGCTGTGGGATGCATTTGGTGGTATATCTCTATTAAGAAAAGAAAAACATTACAGTTTGATATTTCGGACTACTTAAACTCTTCCAACCCAATTTAAATAAATACATAATAAAAAGTTGTCTGTATAATTTTGCTCACCACCTGACCCTTGAGGATTATTAGCCATGCTATTCTCTAGATTATTTTGCAATGGTTAGAAGCTTTCAGTCAAATTACTGAAATTGTGAAGTAATTATAAAAAGTTCAGGCTTGAGCATAGCAGGGGCATGTTGTAAGAAAAGGAACACTAGGGAGGGAGGTTAGATTGAAGGAATGAATTTTTCACTGGAAAGAGAAAGAGGCAGCTTTTGCTATTTGATTTGAAATTTATGATTTTTTTAACTTATTTTTTTAGGTAGCTCTTCTGGTTTCTTTCTTGACTAGAATGCCCAGAGCTTTCTGATGAAAATTATTCTGTGACTCTTGGTGACTGACAGTCAGGTCATCTGCTCCATTATGTACATTTACCTCCTGTTCCTTTGAGGACTTCAACCATTGAAACTGTATTCACAGTGCAAATCTACTATTAAATTAGTCTATTACTATGGTGACTTAATATTTCCTGGTAAGAGTTTTTATGTTGGCATAATAAGGAAAACTTCTGCTATTAGTCTCTTGCAATCTAATAACCACCTCTCCTCTCTAAGTGAAAACTCTCAAAAATGTCATGATTCCACCACCTTGAGAGTGTTTAATCCCTTTAGAAAGCAGCATAACTGGTAATTTTCTGGTTTATCACTTGATCAACGTTATCTGGAAAATCTTTGCTCTGTTTCATCTTCATCTAAAAGAAAAGACGTTTTGAAATATCAGACAGGTAGTCTCAACAGATACGAAATCAGCCCAAAACTGGATAATCAAAAGCCTTTTTTATTGCCTCTTCCCTTTCAAGAAATTCAGCAAAGGGCACTGTTCAGAGAGACAGTTTCAGAAATGCTGTGAGTTTCCCCATTGCACTCTCTCTTCTTTTGCTCTTGAAAGGAAAGCTCATTGGTTTTAATGATGACTTAAGCAACTAGTTCTGAAAATTAAAGCAGAAAGGCAAGTCACCAAGCTCAAGAATTGTACAACAGCCTCAGGAGGTGTCTCTTGAGCAGCAGGACTTTACTGAATTTATCCCAAATGGAGCTTTGTCACTTCTATCAAGGCATCAAGCCTAGGGAGTTCGGCAGAGAGGAACCTCAGGAATTTCAAAAAAGGCAAGTGCAGAGTCCTGCATCTAGACAGGAATAACCCTAGAGATGAATACTGTTTAACCAGGAGGCCAATCTTTGCCCAGGAGATGCAGAGCACACAACATTTACACCTCCTGATGCATTAGATAGGTGACATTATGCTTCAGGAGCCCCAGTTCACATAGACAGATTCATTTTCTCTCATTCATTAAATGTAAGGAACTACAAGGAAATTTTCAGATCTCTGCAGAGTTTTCCCAACACCGGGCTGGAGGGTGGCTCCCCAAGCACCCACGTTGACAGGGCACCTGCATTTCAAATCTTAGAGACCCCAGGATGAGGCCATCACAAATAAGGCACCAGAAGTCTTCCACTGTGGGTACTGGAGGAAAGCTGGGTCTTGGTGCAAGAAATGCCAGGGGAGGACTGGGGAAAATTTTATGCACAGATGATCACAGCCTTGGCCCCATGGCAGAGAAGTAATAATGATATAATCAATCAGCCCTTCACACGTCTCTCTCCCTTGCTTTTCCAGAGTGATTACTCAAGTGACACTGAGAGCGAAGACAATTTCCTGATGATGCCACCAAGAGACCATCTCGGCCTCACTGTATTCTCCATGCTCTGCTGCTTCTGGCCGCTGGGAATTGCTGCCTTTTACCTGTCCCATGAGGTAATGCAAAAACACCTCCTACTAATTCAAAGCTTTACATTCAAGCAGTGCCTATGACTCCACGACAGCAAGGAAAGCTCAACAAGACCCAAGACAAGACCCGAACATGGGGCAAACACTCTCCCAGGGTGATAGGAGGCAGGGTGACATGTGCAATTTTTTACCCCACTTGACATATTTCCATTGTAACGGTGCTTGTCTTGTGAGATATTTTACTAAGGGAGGAAAGCCACGGAATATTTTAGGTTTTGCTTGGCAATGGTCAGGCTCCATGTCATTTTATGCAGTGTCCAGCCAGGGATTTTCTGTAGACATTATTTTCTATTGGAAGCCACTTTACTATATTAAATGCTCAGGTTTCCTACTGGAAAAAATTAACTTGTTAGTTCCCGAGCTGATGATCTGGAAAAGAAAACTGGTTAATACCCTTCCTCAGAAGTGGACGTGTTTTCCAGGAAAACCTTTCTCTATGAAAAATTGCTCAGTTTGTTCCTCTGGTCCAATTTTAATATGGATTTTTTTTTTTTTTTTTTTTTTTTTGCCAGAGAAGTGATAGTGCTTTGGTTTGTTTCCTTCCTAAGAAGAGCTTGCTGGTTTCCAGCCTCTGCCTAACAACCACCTAATGCCTCATCATTTGTTTCGACAAGTATGTCTTCACAAGTGCCTGCAGAGTAATTACTGAGTTTCTCTCTCAGCATGGCAGATAACATAACGTGACACAAAAGGAGTCTCATCTAATAGTCTCCTCAGCGGCTGCACGGAAATGTTCACTTATATTTCTATTTACTGATGGTGGCAGGGCCTATTGGAAACTACAGACTCCACAGACCAAAATCATTAACTTTCTAACCTGCCTTTATAATCTGCCTGCTCTGAACACTTACCAGCACCAGATATTTGTCAAGCCAGACCAGGCACTTTAGATCAGAAGAACGTTAGTCTTTAATATCAAAGAAAAGAGGTAGGGCACTACCATTTTTTTCTTTTTTTACTGTCAAGAAAGTATCTTTCATTGAACTTTCAAGCCTCTGAAACAACTGCAGTTTGTCCAGTGTAAAAATAACAGATTTCTTTGTCTGAGTGCTATTTATTTCTCAAGTTTAGGTCAAGGAATTTGTCTGATAACAATGGCAGTAACAAATGAAAATCAGGTGGGCAGCACATGTGCTTCATCATTCTGCAGTTTAGTCCTTCAGGCAGAGCTGTTCATCAGCAGCTTTACTGGCCATGCCTTTTGCACACGTGGGCTGGCCAGGATCTTTTACTGATGCTTCAGCCAAAGAAGAGTACTGAGCCTGGCAGGATTGACACGATGCTTGTATTTGCTTTTTGTTGGGGAAATTAGTGCATTAATCAATCTCCAGCAGTCATGTTCCTTCAAGAGGCCTGGAGATGGCTAGTTAGTTTTATCTAGATGGTAAAAACACAGCCCAGTCCACTAAAAGGAGAACAAACAACATATTAAAGTACTAAAAAGCATCATCGGTGAGAAGCCAAATGCGCTGAGACCCAGTATGTTGACTGATCCCAGGGGCTGCATGAATCTGGAAGACCACACTACTTCAGTAGCAGCATATCAAAAGTTGTAAAGGTCACATGAAGGCCAGGAAAAGGCCATCATATTGTGCTGAGGGATTTGGTTATTGAAAAAAAAATGAAATTTACATGTTGGATTGGTTTAGCATAATGATGGGGAACTGCTGAACGTGGCTCCTTAAAACAAGAAGCCATCAGCAAAAAGGGTCAGATAGGTGCTTTGCTTTTATTCATTTGCTAGGCAGTAAATAAGTCTTTGCTAATTGGCCCCTTGGATTCACTAAGGTAAGCTTTGGCTAGATACAGGGAGGAAAAAGGAATGCGTTTTTGAGGAGCTTTGACTTCTATTTTTGTTTTTGCATTGGAATTAGAAATCCTTTCTCCCCACCAAAATGATAGTCATCATCATCTTCCCACCCCTACACGCTCCTGTACAAAACCCTGTACCTAGCAAGGCTAATACTAACAGTCATACTCTAGACCATAAACCTGAGAGTATTTAAAGGGTTGTGAAGAAACAGCATCCAGGAAAATGTAATTGCATAATTAACCATTATGAAGGCCAGGTAGGCCTGACAAAGAACAGACTGCATTGGTAGTATTTGATGCTGGCCTCTCACAGAGGCACGTCTTGGCAGTGCCTTGCTTTATAGCAAAATCTTAATGGATGTTTCTAAAACTGACAGACATAATGATGGATTAAGACAGGTCTTAGTATTTAATTTCCTCTTTCAGAAAACAAGGTGAAGATTGAGAGAAAGAGATTGAGTGAAACGAGGCAGCATTCAGGATAATCTTTTATATGTGAGATAGTAAAATATTATGTCCTATTAGCATGTGATTTCTACTTATATATATGCTTTAACCTGAATTCTTGAATAATATTTGAGATCTTCCATTAATACAGAAGGGTAGTCTAACATGCCCTGTCTTTTGCCAAAAGTCAGAGTTATAACTAAAGATCAAAGCTTGGCATTGCATTCAAGCCTTTTTGCTGCTACTTGAGCTATATAAAAATTTTAGTCTTTAAGAAGTCTCATGAGTAAGTCTACACCAAAAAAAAAGTATATTTTGGAGAAAAATTACAAGAGTAGGAACTGCAAAGGCACTGACTGGATGCTTTTTTTGACAGAATTTAGTGTTTATGGTGAACTCTTTTTAAAAAACGGGTCTTCTTTACAAGTGAAATACATTTACAACTCTAGACCTGATTTGCAGAAGATAGATTTGCAGTGCACAGCAATCCAAAGTAGCAGGTGTTCTCAGCTCAAACCTCACTGCACCTGGCAATACAGTGATGTTGCAAATGTCCATGTCATGATGTGAAAGAACTGCACAAGGATGGATGTCGGAAGGTTTCCCAGATGCTCTTTATGAACTGAAAACATAAATTTTCTCCATGCTACAAAAAAGTAATGTGCTTCCTGCCAGGGCTATTTCTGCTCCATGCAGGACTTAGTGTTTCCACTGAGGTTCGCACTGACGTGCTGCTGCCTTGAGGCTTCATGGAGCCCATCTGTATTGATCAATGCAGCTGTGCAAGGTCTGCCTGTGTGGAGTGGACTTTATTTTGTATCTGCTCTCCTATGGGATGGGGATGGTCCTCTGCAGCCCTCCACCCCTGCAGTCCTCAGCACAGAGTCCGAGATGCCATCTAGGCCAAAACAGATACTTCCTCTACCCAGCTTCCATATAACCTCCTTAAGCTGCAGATAGTGTAATATTTTTGTCATCCCCTAAATCATTCCTGCAATGTAAATTTTTTGCAGGCTGCTCCCTCTTTGTCTTTTTTTTTTCAAGCAGCAGAAGCCAGATTTCCACTGGCTTTCTGAGCCTGAGAAATACTAAGGCAGGTTTAGTGTTTTTTTCCAAAGGCAGAGACATAGACTTGAAAATCCCACTGGGCATTTCTCTGCATGCTTAGGTGCTTAAATAGCTTTCCAAATCCTGTTCCACTTTCCTCGCTGGCAGAACATGAAATCTTTGAGGCAGCAGACTGCATCCAAATGCACGAGAGCAATCGCTTCCCGTCTGCCGTGCTTATTCCATGTAGCAATTACTATCCTCATGCCATGATTGAGGGGTTATTTCTACCACCTATGCATTTCTTAAGCAGGCAAAGCTCCAAAAATCATTGCTAGGATTGTCCTTAAGAACAAGTAGGGAATTGTGCAACAATGAAAGGGGTTTCTCCTGCTTTCTTATGGATGCAGGCTGAACAGTCGCTTGTCTTTCCTCATGACGATTTCCACACCTCTTCATTACTTTCTACCAAATTTCAGAAATGGAAGCCTTGAAAAAAATGTATTTTGACTTGTTTCAGCAGTCACCAGGTAGAACAGTATGATCTTCATGTCTGTGTTCAAAGGGGGAAGATGATACAATCTCAACCTTTATTAGAGACTAAAGATTACAAGCTCAGAACACAGGATTATATTTCTTCTTCTTCTTTTTTTTTGATATTTTTGTCAAATTTTGACGTCTAACAACTGCTGAAAATAATATGTAGATGACAGTCAGGTGCTATTTGTGGTTTATTATTTAGAAATCTGGCGTATGGGCTCCATCCCATGTGTGAAAACCAAGACTGGCCAATGGTGTGACTTGCCACACTCTATCAAACTAGCTAGCGGTCCTGGTAGGACCTGTGAGTGCTCTACTACTGCATCCTGGCTTTTTCATCCTCTCTGCCCTGTACTTCTGGGACAGAAAACAGAGAATGGCCAAGAAGCTGACCTCTGTGGCCATGCAACTATGTTTGTACATAGTATGAGTGCATGGTACAATGCTTCATCCCCTTGCATCTAAGATGGAAGGGCCCCTAGAAAGAGCAAAACTAATCTAGAGTATTTTGCTTTGCTTGATATACATGGGGTAATCGGCCAAGCATTATTGCAAGATGTGCTACATAGCACAGCTAAAGCAATGAGAATAGCTAGTGAGCAGATACCAGGCTCTTACATTTTCAAAAGAGATTTTCAATTTTTCAGCATTGTGTCATGTGCTGGACTAAGTAGTGACACTTTTACAAAGGAGCTGACTTTCAAAGAAAGGTGTGCTTAACCTCCTTAAACCTCATAGGAGAAAGCCCTTCTCTGGTGTCTTGAATTAAGATACCAAATCGCACAATCCCTGGTGTAAAGTTGGGCCGTTGCTCTTGGTCACAGTGCTTGGATATAGGATGCCTTTTATATTTTGGGGCTGCCCAGTCTCTTCACCTTCAGTCTAGTCCAGTCTTCAGGACTCACTAAGTCCAGAGACTCACACTGCGTCAGTCCACACTTACATGACTTCATTTCCATGTGCCCATGGCTCTTGGTCTTTGTATCAAGGAGGCATTAGAGATTTTCACCAGAACAAGCCATATGTTCTAAGATTGCATTTTCCTCAGGGATCATATTAAGAAAGAACTGAGCTAATTTCAGGTGCATTCATAACACAAGAAATAGCCATGGAGGGCTAAG